CTGCTCGTTACCCACTCGTTCACATTAAGCGCATTTATGCATGCAATTTTTTGATATAACGAGTACTGTGAGTATTACGAGTGAGTATAACGAGTACTCAGTATCTGTATCGCTGATAAGTTTGCAGCCTTTGCAGGCTTTGATGGCCGGCACATTCAGCTTTTGATGACGCCCCGACCAAGCTTATATAGTATAAAAAATATATACATATATGAATATTGGCAATCAATGCAGCCATTTGGGCATTTATTGCCAAATTGCCATAAGTTGCATTATGAGTTATGGCCCATTGATTTGTGCGCTTTTGTGCATCGCTCTCGTAATCATAATGTTTTAATTTATGATATACTTTATGCCCCGCAGGACTTGAGCACTTGCCACCGCTTAGTTTTGCTCCCATCTTAAACTTTGCCAATAAGAAATCGCTGAACTGTCGGCGTCTCATCAGAGTGCTTTATTTCGGGATATGGGTTCATTAAATACCCTACCAGGCATGTAGTATGTATAGTATGTATAGTATGTATAGTATGTATAGTATGTATAGTATGTATAGTATGTATAGTATGTATAGTATGTATAGTATGTATAGTATGTATAGTATGTATAGCATGTATAGTATGTATAGTATGTATAGTATGTATAGTATGTATAGTATGTATAGTATGTATAGCATGTATAGTATGTATAGTATGTATAGTATGTATAGTATGTATAGTATGTATAGTATGTATAGTATGTATAGTATGTATAGTATGTATAGTATGTATAGTATGTATAGTATGTATAGTATGTATAGTATGTATAGTATGTATAGTATGTATAGTATGTATAGTATGTATAGTATGTATAGTATGTATAGTATGTATAGTATGTATAGTATGTATAGTATGTATAGTATGTATAGTATGTATAGTATGTATAGTATGTATAGTATGTATAGTATGTATAGTATGTATAGTATGTATAGTATGTATAGTATGTATAGTATGTATAGCATGTATAGTATGTATAGTATGTATAGTATGTATAGTATGTATAGTATGTATAGTATGTATAGCATGTATAGTATGTATAGTATGTATAGTATGTATAGTATGTATAGTATGTATAGTATGTATAGTATGTATAGTATGTATAGTATGTATAGTATGTATAGTATGTATAGTATGTATAGTATGTATAGTATGTATAGTATGTATAGTATGTATAGTATGTATAGTATGTATAGTATGTATAGTATGTATAGTATGTATAGTATGTATAGTATGTATAGTATGTATAGTATGTATAGTATGTATAGTATGTATAGTATGTATAGTATGTATAGTATGTATAGTATGTATAGTATGTATAGTATGTATAGTATGTATAGTATGTATAGTATGTATAGTATGTATAGTATGTATAGTATGTATAGTATGTATAGTATGTATAGTATGTATAGTATGTATAGTATGTATAGTATGTATAGTATGTATAGTATGTATAGTATGTATAGTATGTATAGTATGTATGGTATGTATAGTATGTATAGTATGTATAGTATGTATAGTATGTATAGTATGTATAGTATGTATAGTATGTATAGTATGTATAGCTTGTATAGTATGTTAGCTCGTAAAATACGCTTTAATGTCTGAGTGTCTAACCAGCAATCGAAAGGTCGCTGGCTCAAACCATACCAAGCCAATAACTGCTTAAAATCCCAAAAAATCAACTGCGCTTCAAATTAAATTAATTTAAACGGGTTTCTTTCATTTATATAAAATTCCATTTGTGTAGGGTACAAATTGCAACGAAAAGAACTGCCAAAAAAAAAATATATAGAAACGAAAACCAAGCAACTGGGGTCAAAGTTTAATTGTGAGAACGAACATGCGTGGCCGGCGTTTGCAACATAAATCATTCTTTATTTCAAGCCGGCCAGACACACACACACACACGCTTTAATAATGAATGGTGTTGGACCCGGCGAGCATTAACACCTACCTTTTCGGTGTGGCAAGGCGAGTGCGTGCCACCGAATGTTGCTAACAAATCAAGACTGTTGGGCAACGGAATTGTTTTTCTTTGGCTCGTGTGAGATACACTGTAATTAATTATGGTGTTATTTAATTTAATTGCGTGTGTGGCATTTAGACGCAGTCAGTTGGCAAGTGCGCACAAATGGTTGGCCTATTAGCAGCCGCTGCCTTTAAAATACACGCAACACACACACGCACACACTCGAACGGAGGCCCGCCTGCGGCTAGACAAATGTGTTTTCGTGTTTGGCAAGCAACTCAAGCATTTGTCATGGTGCATTTAGGCCGCATGTGTTTGTTGCTTATGAGTTTGCCGCTGTTTATAATGCTGATGACGCTCAAGATGATGATATAAAAATTATGCTGCCAACCTGCTGTGCACCACTGTGCGTATACGCATTATAAGCTCATTTGTAGCGCTAAGTGCGTGAGTTTAACTTGCATAAGAAATACATGAGCTGGGCACAAAAAAACCCATGAGTATTTTATTGTTGTTCTTGTTGGCATTTTAAGTAGAATCCATAAACAAAAGTTCCTCCTGTCTAGCGGGAGGTTGCCGGTTCAAATACAGCGACAATTTTTAAGTTTTATATGGAAATGCAATAATAAATGATAAATAATTAATTTATTATAATGAATTTTTCAATTAATGATAATAATTATTTTACATTGCGATATATGAATGAATTAATGATTAAATGCAATTAACTATTTGATTAATATATTATTTAATTAATAATATCGGGAGGTCGCTAGTTAAAATTCAGCAGCAAGTTTTATATGAAAATGAATCAATAAATAATAAATAATTAGTTAACTATTTATTTGCATTCATTATTCAATTATTGCCTTTTAAATAATTAATATTTTCTTTGTTAGTGCAAAAATAAATTAAATTATTAATTAAAGCAATTACAATAACTTAATAACAAAGAAATTGATTAATAACAATATTTAAATTTATTTTGTTGTTTGTTTAGAGCTTCTTTTGTGGCTTCAATTTGGATACTAATTTCTTTACCATTTGCATCCTTATTAATTTGAGCCGGGCAACGCCGGTTAATTTCCTCCAGACTATAATATTTCCAGCCTGCCTGAGCAGCACATTTTTGTATATTTATAGGTCGCTGTCCCCTTTTTTTTCCTATGTCTGACTCAAGCTAACAAATTCACATTTGGCTTCAATAGAGTCCGCAGACAAGGGATAAATGTTGCTTTTGTTTTTGTAGTTCTTCTTCTTCTTTTTTGGCATTTTCGACTCACATGGATCAGTTAACGCTTGGCAAAGTGACAGCTAAAGGACAACAAACCCAAATAGGGCCAAATCAACACTTTGCTTCAAATCACAGCAAACAACAACACTTTTGATGCGGGTCATGTGGAAAATTGGGGTTGCATTTCCCGCTAAATGTATACATGTGTATGAGTATCTATTTTTTTCACTCGCATGCTGGCATTTTAAATGAACGCTAATTGAATCAAACCAAGAAATGTTTTCGTTGCCGTTTGTCAGTTTGTCCGTTTGTCCGCCTGTCAGTTAGCCAGTTTAGTCAGCTGTCACATGTGCAAATTTGTTAAATAAGTTTCTGACATGACCAAAACCCCATGAATTAGCACTCGACCAAGCCAAACATGGACATTAAGTATTGAAGGGACCGCCAGAGATGGTGCTTAAATTATTATAATTATTGCTGCAACTCGAGAGTTCTTCAATTTCGTTCTTCATTAATTTCGGCTCATTAATGATTGTCTTCAGTTCGGAGCACTAATGAACATGGACTATGATAAACATTATTTGGCTTTCGATATCGAAAGTAGCTTCACATTTGCCTTTAATACGTGCCGAATAATTACTTACTGATTAATTGCTTGACTAAGCGACGCCTAGTTAGTCGGCCTAACTATTACAAATACAATTGTTTACTTAACTATATATTTATCTGCTACAATTGTCATATTTCTGTCGCTCCCAATAAAGCTAAAAGCATATTTATCTTTAGCTTTTTTAGCTTTAACAAAAGATAGTCCCCTTAACTAGTCTGATATCTAAGGCTTCACACTCAAATCTAGCCTTTAAAAAGCTGTTTTTAATGCTCTTTAAACTAAAAATTATTCATTATATTGCAATTAGTTTTAGCTTCAGTCAATAATCGGATTCAATTTTTGTTTTAATTACGCTCAATTGTTTAGAACTTTCCGATAATAAAATTAATTATTACTTTAGCATTTTTTTAGCTGCACTTATTGTGCATATGTCACATTCGGTTTCATTTAAGTGAAAAGATTTAACTAATAAATATTTCAATTAAAATAAACATATTGTTGTAAGCAACAGTAAAAAAACAAACTGCAAAAAGAAAGAGCGGGAAAGCATAGTACCGAAGTTTAAATACCCTGGCTGACATATTGCAAATTTGTTTCTATATTTTTTGAACAAAAACTCAATCGATTATGGAAGCAACAAAAGTTGCTCACACAAAAATTTCTAATAATTATTATAATTTTTTTATTATTATTTTTTTCAAACATTCTTTTTATGCGTTTTCCACAGGGTATTCTTTGTTTTAATATTTAATAAAACAAATAAATCTGCAAAAGTTAGCGGGCCGTGAAATCAACAGTTGAGCTAAAAAAAGAGAGAACGTGTTGTGCGCAGTCAACTGTTGAGCCCCAAGCGTGCAACAACAATTTATTAACTATTGCGCTTTTTTCTTCTTCAGTTGTTTTTGTTGCTGTTGTCAGTCGTTAATTTGTCGTACGCCTAATTAATTTTACACATTTTTTTTTCGTCTTGTTGTTGTTGTTGTTGATGTTAGTCAGCCCTTTGGTCCCTTTGGGCTCATAAATATTTAATGCAAAATAATTAACACACACCCGCGCGCAGAGGGAGCAGAGAGCATGATTGATTGCCTCCTGCTGCCAGTGGACAATCATAAAATTTTCGTTAATCAACTTTAATTAATTAAGGCAGACAAAATGGCGTCGTCGGCGACGGCGTCGCTGGCGTAATGACAACGCCATACTGGCATATCCATGTCAATATTTCCGCTTTTGCCCAGCCGTAAATTATGCAATACTTTCTGCCCGCCGGCAGAAGCAGTTACCGTTAACGTTTCGCCCATGGCCATGGCCATGGCCGTGGGCGTCGACATGGGCGTAGGCGTGGCAGTGGTGCACGTGTCGCCATCGCTTTGGCATCATCAACTTCTGTCAGCTTCGTCAGCGACTCTTGGAACAGCGCCAGATCCGATGACAGTGGCCATAATTCCACGGATTACATTGTTTAATTTAAGCCACGAGCCATCAGCCACTTTCCAGCAACAACAATTACCGTTAGTTCGTTATCATGGCCACATTGATTTATCATATTTCTGCCGGAGGCTTTCATAATATTAAAACAAATCAAAGCCTTTTAAATATGACTTAATGAGTTGTATGTAATGCATTCCAAATGCATATGCTTAACATAATATCAGATGTCAGAATTCAGCCAGCCGACAAAAACAGGAGCGTAGTCGGGTGTGCCCGACTAAGAGATACCCTGTACTCGGCGCCGAGCTGCCGTTTCATATGCATGTGTACACACTCGCAAGTACGCATGCTGCAAGCTGAGCTTCTTTTGCAGCGAAAGGAAAAGCACACTCTTCTTCCCTTTGCCCCATGCTATCTATGGCAAATGCAGTCTTGATTAACTTTGGTGCTTATAGTCCGATCTTTATGAAATTTGCAGGCCCTAAATGTGACATATAAAACTACCTTTAAGAATGATTCTGGAGGGAATAGTTTCCAATTCCGGGGGAATGGCGGCAGGCATCTAAAATTACAATATTTTAAGTCAATATATTATATGCGAGAACCTTCGTTCCAAGTTTCTTGTATGTAGCTCTTACAAACTTCGAGTTATGGTTAAAAACCCAATCTTAAAATTTATTTGAATTTATTTGGTATTAAAGAAAAAAGAATTATTCGTTCTGCTTATCATATTCACACAAGCAAACGTTTCGATCAACAATATAGTATATACTTTATGTGGTCATTGAGGCTCTCGCCAGCCTGTTACATACATTGCACAATATCAATATACCCCTTTTTGTATATTTTCAATGGGTTTAGGTTATAATTAGTCATGCATTAAAATCAATTTAATCTCAGCCCTCAACTTTCATATGCTATATCCATAATAGTAGCTTGATAACTCTGCACTTGTTTTCAGTTCAGTCTAGACTCTGCGCTCTTTACAATTGATGAAACGCTGTCGGACAAATAATAAGAAGCCATTTAATTATCGAGCCAAGCACTCTATGACTATGACAAGCTTATTAAATTAACTTGTTAATAATATATTTTAATTTTAGGCAAAATAAGTAGACATACTTTTGTTCAAATCATGATGTTTGATATCTCTTTGAATCATTAACAACGTCAAGTGATCATAGAATCAGGAGGCTCTTGAAATAGCTACACGAACAATTATTAATCTCGAGCCTGCAAATAATGTAATTATGTTTATTTCATTGTTGATAAAATTTGTAGATAAGTGAGGTAAGCTCAGCTTTCACTCTAACGATAATTGCCTAACCATGAAAATTATATTGTTAGCCTGAAAAAAAATTATCAATGCAATGCATGCTATTAAAAATACATTAAATTTAAATTATATATCTGTGCATAAAGATATATTTGTAAATACATGTGGCTCATTTGACTAATTCATCCAGTTGTGACAATGCATTTACCAGTTGTAGTTATTCTCTGCCTTTCGCATCTCTCGCAAGTGGTAAAAATCCGAAAGATACTTTAAACTCTTATCAAATAATGAGAATAGAAATTTTATAGCGTGCTGATTCCGTGATAGTGTACAAGTCCACAAATTTAGAATGCTTTCCCGATCCCGCATTCGCTGTAAATGTGACTTGTCGCATTAAGGCTGTTAATTGGAATAAAGCGGTTGCCCAAATGGACTGTGATCTCGTCTCGCCTTTGGCAAATACATCGGTAAGCAGAAGAGAAAAGATATATTGGAAACCAGTCTAAAGGCTTCGATCGCTCAGGTTCAAATAGAAGTGTTTAAGAAGAGCGATAACAATCGATATCATCCCTTTCTGGTCAATGTGACCGTGAATATGTGCGACGTCATGTCCCGAAGGAATTTCATGCCCTACGGAACGATATTTTGGAAAATAATCAAGGAACACACGAACGTGAATCACAGCTGTCCAATTAGGGTAAACTTGTTCAGTTTATTTAAAAATAACTATTATCAAATATCTATTCGCTTAGCCGGGACATCTGACAGCCAGAAATCTGTTCATTGACGAAAGCTTTTTGCCCAGATTCCCTTTGGGCTTCTATCAAACTTCGTTGAAAATCGTAGAGAACTCCATCGACCGGCCCAGCAGATTCGCTGGCATTATAAAGTATTATTTTCAAGTTAAGGAAATGGTGAAACCTAAGAAAAAGGGATAAGATTAAGGCAATATGAGAAAAATCTTAACACGTTTACTTAATGATATTTATATCTAGTTATGTTTAGGTTATATCAGACAAAAGTATATTACAAATTTAATTTAATTACTTTTACATACCAATCCTTTTATTGCTTATTCCCTGCACTTGTGGTCAGATATTGTTCCATTCCGCTTAAAGGAAATCAAAACTATTTGTTGTCATTGAGCGAAGCTATAGCATTTTAGATCGGGCAGTGCTATGAAATATAATATTGGTATAATTATAATATTAGTAGGAAAGTGAGTTAGGCTCAGCTTCCATTCTAACAATAATTGCGTAGCTTTGAACATTATATTGTTCGCCCGAAAAACAATTAACAGTGCGATGCTGGCTATTAAAAACACGTTAAATTTCCATTATATATATTTTTACATAAAGATATATGTGTAGAAACTTAATAATCATTTGACTAATTCATCCAGTTTTAACTATGCATTTACCAGTTGCAGTTATTCTCTGCCTTTCGCATCTCTCGCAAGTGGTAAAACTGAGAAAAATATTTTAAACTCTTATCAAATAATGAGAATAGAATTTTTATAGCGTGCTGATTCCGTGATAGTGTACAAGTCCACAAATATAGAATGCTTTCCCGATCCCGCATTCGCTGTAAATGCGACTTGTCTCATTAAGGCTGTTAATTGGAATAAAGCGGTTGCCCAAATGGACTGTGAACTCATTTCGGCTTTGGCAAATACATCGGTAAGCAGACGAAACACCTGTGCAAACCAGTCTAAAGGCTTCGATCACTCAGGTTCAAATAGAAGTGTTTAAGAGGAACTCTAACAATCGATATCATCCCTTTCTGGTCAATGTGACTGTGAATATGTGTGATGTTATATCAAAAAGAAACTTTATACCGTACGGCACGATGTTTTGGAAGATACTCAAGAAACACACGAATGTGAATCACAGCTGTCCACTTTTGGTAAAATGATTGAGTTGGCTTGAAGTGCTTTTATTGAATATCTATTTCTATCCAGCCGGGACATCTAATGGCAAGAAATCTGTACATTGATGAAAATATTTTGCCCCGATTCCCTTTGGCCTTCTATCAAATTTCCCTGAAAGTCATTGAGAACTACGCGGATCGACCAAGCAGATCCGCTGGCATCATAAAATTCTATGTTCAAGCCAAGGAAATGGTGAAAACAAAAAAGAAAAAGGGGAAGGGAAGGGAATGAAGCTATATATATGAATATGGGGAAATGGGAGGGTGCACGACTTTGATGTAATCTACACGCAATCATTGACACATCATTGGCGTTCTTCATTGTGCTTAATTATGTCAAGGCTTATATCGAGAATACCCTTGATATAGATACCTTTTTATACCCTGAACCCATTGAAAATGGGTAAAAAGGGTATAATGTTTTTGTGCAAATGTTTGTAACAGGCAGAGGGAAGCATCTCCGACCCCATAAAGTACATATATTCTTGATCAGCATTAACAGCCGTGTCGATTTAGCCATGTCCGTCCGCATGTATGAACGCAAGGATCTCAGAACCTATTAGAGCTAGGGACTTGAAATTTTAGCTGTAGGTTCTCCTAGTCCCCGCGCAGATCGTGTTTGTTTCCGATATTCGATAACTTGCCCCGTTCCCAAGTAATCGATAAAAATCGATATCGAAATCCTGTTTTTTGAGCAATTTTGGATTTTAGAGTCACCAAACTTGACATGTAGCTTCTAGAATAGTATATATATATCAAGTATTTTTCATTTTATACCAATCGACTATGGGAAGAAGAGGGTTCAGGGTATCCCCTAGTCGGGAGTTCCCGACTAGAACCTCTTACTTGTTAGTATTAACTAGGAATCTAGTATTTTATTGTTAAGGTATTTTGTAACTGGTCAAGAACGGGTCTGTTTAATCTTGAAAAATAACGCGACATGTTAATATAGTTAAGAATTAAAACCAATTAAAAAGTAAATCTTAAGTCAAACGATTTCTTGCGAAAATGAATTGCGATTATCCTTTACTTATGTTTTTTAATTGTAAAAAATATTATACTTCATTGAGAAAAGTTAAATATGAGAAAAGTTTCAGCCATCTTCTCGATTCCTTTTTAAGCGGACAGTGCTTTGAGCTTGAGTTTATTTCTTTCTTTAAATAATCGTAGAACTATGCTTGACGTAATATTTATTAATCTCTGTCCCTACTTCAATGTTGTTCCATGCCCATTTCCAGGTCCTCTGTGATGATTACAACAATCATTACAGGGTATTCTGCTCAGAGTCTACTCTCCTCCCCTTATAACTCATCTATTCTGAACTATTTACCAATTAGGTTGGGTGGGAGGTGCGATGCCGTACTTTACATCGGCACTCGAGCGAAAAAAATTTCTACATAATCATCGCTTTAAATTTTTATATAATTTTTTACTATATTTCCGGATGTCGTCCGCATTCAGTCAAATTTGTGAAATTAATATAAAATATTATTGCGCAGAGACGCGATATTTTCGCATCATTAAATATTTCGATTAAAAGCACATTAAACACACATTTAAACCGAAAATCAATTTGTATATATTTAAATATCAGTTCGATTAATTCGAATAGTTGGCAGTTGTCGCAATGAACCTTCCGCTGACGGTCATCGTGTGCCTTGTGCTGGTCGGGAGTGTGGTAAAGTGAAATAATAAGTATATCCTCGATGGACTGATCAAATATTGTAGGCACATTATCTTTTGTAGTGCACCGATCCGAAGATTGTGTATAAATTGAAAAACATCGAGTGCGTCGCCAATCCGAAACGCGTCGAGAACATCTCCTGCTCCATCAAGGCCATCAATTGGAATAAGGCAGTCGCCCAAATGGACTGTGATCTCATTTTTCCATTGCGTAATACATCGGTAAACATAATTAGGGCTAGTCCATACATGAGAATCGCTGTGAAATGACCATAACTCACCATTGCAGATCGAATTCGCGGTGCTCAAAAAGAATAATAACAACCAATATCATCCCTTCCTGATCAATGTCACTTTCAATGCGTGCGATATGCTGTCCAGCAGAAAATATCTGCCCTACGCACCGCTTGTGCGTAAAGTGATGAAGATCTATACGAATGTGAATCATACTTGCCCCGTCACGGTAAAATCCAGCTAATAATCCCAGACTTCGATGCACTGAATCATAGTTTTGTTCCACAGAATCATCTGTATGCACGTAACTTGAACATTGATGAGAATATTTTGCCGACTTTTCCTTTGGGCTTTTACGCGTTTTCCATTAAACTAACTGAGAATTTCGCGGACAGAACCAGCGATTCCATTGGTCTCATCAAGATCTATTGCCAGGCCATGGAAGTGGTCAACATTAGACAAAGGAAGAAATTCAATAATTCAGCTATAATTATGCCGGGCATTTAATAATAATAGAGTTACTCAATTAATTGGTATTGAGGTGGAAATTAAAGGGATGCGCATTTATATTTATACTTTATTTTATTTGTGAAATTTTAAAAAAATTATATATTATAAAAGGAGTGGATGGAGAGCCCTTGCTTTGCCGCCAAGCTGATCCTGCTCTGAGAATGTCGATAACAAAACTTTTCTCTATAAAACAAGTAAGAGGTTATAGTCGGGAGCTCCCGACTAGGGGATACCCTGAACCCTCTTCTTCCAACAGGCGATAGGTATAAAATGAAAGATACTTGATATATACTATTCTAGAAGCTACATGTCAAGTTTGGTGACTCTAGCTCATATTATTTACCAAAATTGCTCAAAAAACAGAATTTCGATATCAATTTTTATCGATTACTTGGAAACGGGGCAAGTTATCGAATATCGGAAACAAACTCGATCTGCGCGGGCACTAGGAGGACCTACAGCTAAAATTTCTCCAGCTCTTATAGGTTCTGAGTTCCTTGCGTTCATACATGCGGACGGACGGACAGACGGACATGGCTAGATCGACTCGACAGTTGATGCTGATCAAGAATATAGATACTTTATGGGGTCGGAGATGCTTCCTTCTGCCTGTTACATACATTTGCACAAATACATTATGCCCTGTTTACCCATTTTCAATGGGTTCCAGGTATAAAAAAAAGGTAGCCTTGAATGCCGTGCTTATCCCTGTTGTCCGAAAGCTGGCACCAAAATGTGTTTATATACCAGCGCAAAAGGATTTACCCATTGAATTGGATTGTTACCCAAAAAGGGAAATAGTCCTTAATATATCTAGAGGAGAGTCTACAAACCAAGTTTCGTATATGAAGATCTTCCAGCTATGCTTAAGTAAATACATCCCAAAATCGATATTTATCGATATTCTAAAAGTGGAACGAAATATAATATTAAAGTGACCAAACTGATTTTCCAGCTATAAGCAGGGTATTCTGCAGTCGGTTACACTCGATTTATCTGTCCCTTAGATATGTATCATAAGCTTTATTAAAGCATGGAATATGACAATTAGCTATTAATTAGATGATTATCAAGGCACGCACAATATATGAACATAAAGGATTGTGTCAGAGTCAAAGTCTGTTGAGGCGTCGACCGAGCCTGACCTCGACTTGATTTATTCTCCTCCATGGCCATTTTCTATTGCTTTCGGGAACCGGAAACGCTGTACGAATGCGTTAGTCTGATCAGCCGGCTGCAGTTCGCGCTGTGCTGCAGCGGCTTCTTTGAACGTGGCGGAAAATTTGTGATAAACCAATGGACACGCCTCTATTCGCTGAGCTGCGCTTGTTTGGCCGTGCTGGGCCTGGCCGGCACAGTGCACGTCCTGCTGCAGAACCAGCTGCTGCGGCAGCGTGTGCTCCGGCTGGACAATCTGGTGCTGAGCATCATGTGCCTGGAGCTGGTCATCTCGACGCTGGTCTTTCTCTTCACAATGCTGTCGCTGCAGGCGTGGTCGCAGCGACATTTGCGCATCTACCAGCGGCTGGCCGAGCTGGACAAACAGCTGATCGGGCAATTCGGAGCACGGCTCAACTATGGCAAGCTGCTGCGCAAGCATATGCTGGTCCTGTCCATGGTCGCCGTGCTGTACTTTGGGGCCGTGAACACGGGCCTGGCACAGCTCGCCGAGGGTCGTCAGCTGGGCATTGTGGTGCCCGCCGCGCTGTGCTATCTGATCATAACCAGCGGACCGCATTTGACGGGCTTTGTGCACATGAGCCTGGCCGAGCTGCTCGGCATACGGTTACGCCTGCTGCAGCGGCTGCTCGAGCCGCAGTTGCTCCACAGGCGCTTTGGCGGGCAGCCGCAGCTGCTGGAGCGACGCGTTCGCAGTTTGGTCGATATGGTCAAGGAGCTGCACTATCTGATACAGGAAATCAATGGGGTCTACAGTCTCAGCTTGTGGTCGGCCATGGCGCACGACTTTACGCTCAGCACCAGCGAGCTCTACATCATATTCGGGCGCTCCAACGACAGCAAGAACAACAGCAGGAGGAACAGCAGCAATGAGCCGGGCGACGAGTTGGACCTGATGCTGCTCGGATTTCTGTCCATCTGCCTGCTGGTGCCCTTCTACAAGATGCTCATCGGGCCGGTCTACTGCAGCCACAGCGTCGATGAGGGACGCAAGTGTCTGCATTTGCTGGAACAGCTAGATGATTGGTTTCCGGACAGTGTCGCCATCAGGCAGCTCGTCGAGTCCATTATGCGCTGGCGTTTGCAGTTCAAAATCGAATTCACCAGCGGCACGAGCACGGTGCTCAACAAGACCGTGATTACCTTGGTGAGTGTGTGCCTTGCCGCATGTCATAATCCGGCTGCCTCCGGCTAAAATTCCCGTACACTTTCAGTACACGTCCATTGTGTTCAACTATTTGCTGGTGCTCATCTCGTTTGCCATGACACAGCAGCTGGGCGAGCAGGTGGAACAGCAGAAAGTCGCACTGCAGGATTGGATAGGCATTTGATGGGAACGGAAGGGTGTTTGGATTAGAGTGGGCCCAGGACAGACCAGGATAACGCCCAGACACGTCAATCATTGAATACTCTCTGAATGTCGCACTTCATCTCACTCCATCTCAACCTATCGTTATATCGATAAATATATCTGTATATCGCAGCTAATGTCATCGCTATCTCGTGCTATCGATACAAATATTTGAAAGAAACGCCTTATAACTATTAACTAAAACCCGATAAAAGTGAAGCAATTCTTAAAATTTAATGTTATAAAAAGTGTAGCACATTTTCTTCAACCTCGCGCTGGACCAAGGCGAGCTGTTTTTTTTTTATCGAAATGTTGCCCGCGTCCATCTCTAGTTGGTAGCGCGTTTTGCTGCCGTGTTGCATATATCATTAGCTAAATTAATTTACGGCTCGTTAACATAGAAACTCCATAAATATGTCAGCGTGCCCCAGCGGACGGACAAGCGGCCGCCCCCGTTGCAATCAGGCGCAGCGGCAACAACTGGGTGAGGTGCCTGGAACTGCCTGGACTGCACCCAGGAGGCGGTCGCCAGCTAATGATTATAATGTTTGTCGTTTATTTTATTTGAATTTTATGCAAATTAAGCGAGCCGCTGCCAACCAGCCAGCCAGCCGACACCAGGCTTTATCAATGCGGCCAGCAGCCTACAGCTTTATTGAGCGGGCGGGGGTAGGGTATGATGGGGGCGGGGGGTGGCAGTGCCACGCCCACTGCTGACCAATACTGTGATGCTGGGGACCTTCTACTCTAATTGTGTTCGCCTTTGGCAGTTGCTTCACTTAAATCCTTCTGCTTTGTACAAATGTTTTATACAAAAATATTGCACAATGCATGCAACAAAAAGTGCATGCGAAATTGTTTGTCATGCAATTCCTTTGGCTCCTAAAAGTTGTGTACTCAAGGCACATTTTATAGAAATAAATATAACAAATTGAAAGTCGGAATAGAAAACAATTTGAAAAACAATTTTATTGATGGTTTGTGAGTTCAGCTCAAATTTAAGAACAAAAAGTTACGCCTCAAACAAATGATGTTAGCTTCAAAATTTGAACTGAAAACTTGGCTCTCACAATTATATGCTATATTAAATTATAGTCAAAATTAAGACTCAAATAAAAATCGGCTTATATTTTGTGGTAAATGAATAATTGAATATATATACAAAATTGTTTCACATAATTATTCGAAAGGACAATACGAAAGGAAGAGGCGCACGCGAAACTAACGCCTATTGCCGTTTCTGTTGATCCAAATATCCTTTTTGCTATTTATTTCACATACAATTTGCTGGCGAAATAAGCCTAATAAATAGAGCTCATATTCATGTTGGTTGCATGGCATAAATCCAGATAACAAAAGCCGTCGCAATTCGTTGATATTTGTTATGCGCTCTGCACAATTATTGGAAAGCTCTTAAAAAAAGTGAATATTATTGGGTCGTTCGAATGAATATTGTGAATGAGGACACAATTGTTGCTGTTGTTGTATGGAATTTATCGAGTGGGCGGCTCGAGGAGCAGCTGGGCCAAAAAGGAAACCTCAAGTATTTATTGCAACGCATATTTTACGCCCATCAATGGCAATCGAGAAGCTGCTGCAACATTCCCAATGACCATTGTCGTAATTGAATAATATTTTTTCGCTCTCGGCATTCTTTTGTTTCATTACCATGCCGAGTTTTTCCCCATTATTCCGTAGCCAAAACATTCCACTAGCTGCCGGCCTCCGGCCTCCGTCCTCCGGCTCTCGACTGTCGGCTGACGGCGCTTAAGCATAATGCAATCATATATCGGCGATATAATTTGCGTTAATTGCTGCATGCCACGCCAAGTGGCATGTTACCATATTGAGGCGTTTTTGTGGCATTTCCGGAGCACAAGAAAATAATCAAAAATTATTACATGAGCCTAATTGCAAATTAATTGCGTGCACTTATGCCTTAATTACCACACACACACACTCGGATTTCTACAAATAAAAAGCCGCAATTAATAGAAATTTTCGACGGGTTCGCGCATGGAAATTGCAATTTTATAGTCGAGTTTTTAGCATAGTAATTGGAAGCGTTTTAACTGCGACTATTACATGTTATAGTTATGAGGAAAACGTTTTACAAGTAATTGCTTTGTAATTTAACATAAAAATGTTAAGAGCAAAGCGTGCTGTTAAGCTTAACATTAAAATGTTATTAACAACTATTAGACACTTTAGTTATAAGCTATCAAAATAGTTATAAGTTGACATAAGACATGGACATTTACATAATAGTGCGCTGTTAAGTAGAGTGTGCTGTTAACCATGACATACAAATTTAAATGAAAGTGCGCTGTTAATCATTACATTCAAATGTTAATTATTGTCTACTGTTAAATACAATTGTATGTAATTAGTGTGAGTACTTTTAACGAATCCTAAATACTATGTATATAATATAAAAGATAGATGACGAAGCATAACATAAATATGA